CTGCATTAGTTTGATATCAACAGCTCAATCCTAAAATGATGTTTAGGAATTAGCAACGGAGGCATGAGATGAGATGCATAAGAAATTAATCCTAATCACAAGAGCGTTTTAAGGACAAAAACCTGACAAATGTCTTGAAATACATCATCTGAACAATGTGTTGAGGTGTGGTAACTGTAGTATACGCGGAATAATTGACTCCGGTCCATTGAATTATTAGAAAATAATGCACACCCGAGGTGATGTGGCCAAAAATAATCTTGTTTTGCAAATATATGACTGTTTTTCTTTTTTTTACATTATAAGTGAAACTCATGGAACATAATAAAAAAAAGTACAAAAATATTCATAAAAACATATTAAATAATAAATATATTTAATCAAAAAACATTAAAATAATAAAAAAGGCATATGATGACCCCCTCTAATTTTTTTTAACAAAATGGATAGTTCCAGTTCTGAATGCTGACTGGTCAATGCAGCATTGCAGTCATGCTAAAATACATATAGCCAGGACCATATTCACAATATAGCAAAACTTATTATAATATTTTATTGCATAAATAAGTCTGTTTCAATTTCTTCCACTAAATTCAATTGGATCACGATTCAGTTGCAACAATTCCATGCAAAGGGTTTGCAACTGTAAATATATTATGTGGATTAATGTAATCTTGATCTAACTGTAGTGCTGATAGCATATAACTGTAAATAATGTTTTGGATGAATGTGGCTTTCTCACTGTAACCGCATGCGTCAAATACATTCTTAACAGTAGCATTCTTGTGCACTTAATGCATAGCTGAGTCAGTGTGGAAGTGTATGTTACACAAGCTGCTCCTGTTATACTTTCCGAGCATTATATAATCACAACAGAGACTGAAAGAGAGAGAGAGTGTGTGTGTGAGAGGGGGGAAGAGTAGCTCTCTGGGGAGTATGGTAGGCTTCATTATTCAGCTCATTCTGCCTTCTTCAGGACCTGGGCGGTTTGCATCTGGCCCCATTTTACAAGAGTCCAGCATCTATGCCAATGCACTCCAGAATGATCAGCCAACTATGAGCCGGTAATGCTAATGCATGAACTTCTTTAAATCTCTATTCATGGCATTCTTAGTTTAGCACTGGGTTAGAGATTTTTGTTAGAGATTGATCTAAAGCACAAATATGACGAAAAGAATAGTTCTCTCAGAAATAAAAATTCTAAAATAATTTACTAACCCTCATGTTGTTCCAAACCTGTACGCATTTCTTTATTTCTGCATTATTTTTTTATGTATGTATGTATGTTTGTATGTATTTATTTGTCTGTCCATTCAAGGAATTGACGTCATTGTGTTGCAATGTAATGTTGTTACACTAAAGCTATTCATAGCCATTTTCGGTCATTGAATTAAAGCTTAAATAAAATATAAATATTCAATGAAAATCTTAAACGTATAAAAATTACATGAAAATTAGAAATGTTTCCTTGGCAATTAACTGAAATAAATAAGTTGAAGTTGAAGTATTAAAATGGCTAAAAATGAAATAAAATTAAAGTTATACTATCCTATAAGGCAAACATCACTAATGCTTATACTTAACTCATAACCCTAATTATTAAACTTCAGCACACATTAAGAACCATTTATGCCACATGAATGATAGATCATCATTGATTTTGATTGCTTCCATTGTCCTCATTTGTAGGTCGCTTTGGATAAAAGCGTCTGCTAAATGACTAAATGTAAATGTAAAAATCACCATAATCCTATGTTTTTAGAACCTTGGAGTACCATGCAAATATCATGGTACATTAATTTGAGTACCATGATTTGATACCATTACTGTACTATGTTACTGCCACAGTACTGCTTTGCCCAGAAAACCACCCACAACACACTAGCACCTTGGCAGTGATTTTTGCACAGGCGAGAACCACTCACATTTTTCCAGCAAATGTAAAAATCGGAGTTCATTTGTAATGTTGTGCCTCAGCGCTGTCCGGTAAGTAATCACATTAGCAGATATATTACACCCCCGTCAGCACAGATGCACGTGATTATTTTATTCCAAGATTAATTGCATTAACTGAATTTATCTTTAAGTGCCCGCAGATACACATCACTCTCAGCTGAGCGGATGGCAAAGTTGATTTGTCTTGCTTCCGCAGGCTGTACCAGCTCCATATGCGTGTGTTGTGCTCTAATTCGTTCATGCGCTGGGTTTCCGTTCCTCAAATTAGACACCTTGATTGCGATTGTTCAGCATCTGCCATGAAACCTCACAAGATTACAAACAGCTTTATAATTAGGCCTTGTTCATTTTCACCAAAAGCCATTTTTACTTTTTACAAAACATGAAAAATGAAACAAAAGGCTTTTGTAGGATACATATTTTCATTAATTGGAAAGATATTGTCATCCATTCTATGTTAGACTTTGGCCCAGGTCTCCCTGTAACTCTCATCTTGGCTGATATAGTAGTGTGGGGCAGCCATTGTTAGAGAGGCAAACAATTTATGGGCATTCAGCAACAATTCATGGCCCACCCGTCACAGATCGATGAATGTTCCCCCTCTTACGCACCGTGCTGTGCCCAGTCCGGAGATGCTGAAACACCACAATCTGATAATCCAAGACAATTTAGGTTCAGCACGAACACAAAATCTTACATGTCAGATATTTTAAAAAGTCAAAGGTTCACGATATACCATCTAATATCATCACACACTCTTGAAAATAAAGGTTCCAAAAAGAGGGTTTTGCAACAGTGCCACAGAAGAACCATTTTGGGTTTCCCAAAGAACCTTTCAGTAAAATATTTTGTGCAATGGGACCTTTTATGATATTAGACGTTAAAGGTTCTTCATGGAACCATCAATGCCAATAAAGCTTCTTTATTTTTTGTGCATGGTAGCAGTAACAAAAACAATAGCTACTCTACAGCAATATTTTGTCTGAATACTGAACAACTGACATCTTAGCATATATGTTGTTATTTAAACATGTATGCAGGATCTCACTAGCAAAAAAGTACCATAATTTAACCATGATTCTTGGACATGCACTATGGTAATATCATTGTTTTTTATGTGCATTATGGAGTACCATGAAAATATCAAGGTACATGAATATGGAAGTAACAAGAGTCACACTGTTCCAATTGCTTTTACAAAATATACATAAATAGTCAAATAAATAATATCTGCCTAATATCTTGAAAGCATTTATTTGCACACACACACACACACACAAACTAATGTTGCTAGGTTTAAGCAAGTGGTTTCAGCATCTTGCCCTAGATTACTTGCCAAACAAAGTGCACTATTCAGAGTTCTGCTGATTTAATGATACTGCCAAATGTGTCAGACTCTGTGTCCTGGAAACACTTTGTACTTTGAAGATGTCCTCTCCTACACATATTGCCTGGTGACAAATGACTAGGTGACAATGTAAACAACCACTCAGGTTTAGACTAATGACACCTGTCTTAGACTACTGAGACTTTTTTCTAATGATGAAACATTTCCCATGAGTCTCGTAGAAATATTTCAACAGACTGCAAATGTCTGACACGTATATAGGAATTCATGATGACAACCAATAACTGCCCTGCCTGAGAAAGAAGAGAATTTGTGTTAAATACACCTATCCTAAATATCCAGATCCCTAACCAAATACAGAGAAGAGCGAAAGCCTACATAGTATAACAATTAAATATAATAATATTTCTGTGTAATGCATTGTGCAAGATAGACGCACAACGCAGGAGCAGTCAACAAAATAACAGTCTTTAATAAAAAGTCCAAATGAAACATACACAACTGCAAACAATACCGGACAACGAACCCAGGAAAACAGAGTGCTTAAATAACAAGGGGTAATGAGGGAGAACAGAAACAGGTGACGAAATCAATTAACTAGACAAACTGAAAACTAGGTCAAAAGAAAGAAACAATGGAACACAGAACAGACACGACACGTGGCATTCTGCAGAATTCAATTCAATTTAAAGAGGAGTCAGGATTTTGTATTCCAGTTTTTAATATGGCACTTTTCATGAAAACGGTTCAAATTCATGTCCCTTTGTCGCAAATTAGAAATTAGAACTTAATTTTAATAAAACTTTTAGTGTTGACTACATTGGTCCAGATCAAACCTGTTACCAAAAACTATTTTATAAAAGATATGCAAACTAATATTTCTTAACAAGTGTATCAAATTTGTAAAAAAAAATCTAAACTAGCTGACCGTGACAGCAAAATTTTGGCTAAATCATTCCATTTTTAATCCACAAATATGGACCAAATTAGTAGCTCACTAGTATAGGAACAAAGGCACAGATCTCTCTGAAAGGAGGGAGAACTAGATAATGTTATACTTGTCTTGTTAATTTTTACATTATATTAGTATTATTATTATTTTTTTTTGGTATTATTGTTGTTGACTGTATTTGCCAAGCTCAATCCAAGGGAAAGTGTCAATACTTAAAGTATAAACTAACAGTATAGGTGTATCATCAATAACTATAAAGTAGCTGGCCACTGTAACAGTTAAATTTAGGCCAAATCATCTCAGTTGATTATATAATTTCCCAGAATATGGTACAAACTGGTGTCTAAATAAAAACACAAATCCCACATTCTTTGGAGTGACAACTATTAGATTAGATAGTCTCATCCATTTTACACATTTTAGTGTTGACTGTATTTGTCAAGCTCAACTATTCAACCTTGTTACCAAATTTAAACATGAATAAACATTTATTTTTCCTTCTAATACCTCCTGTTTATAAGAAACATTACTCAATTAATAATAAACCAACCTCTGGTCTCATAGTCGGCCACTACAGAGTGAAATCTTAAATTAGGCGAAGTCTGCAACCCTGTTCGCCTACATATTCTGCTATATTTTGTTAGAGGCGCAAGCAGTGAACGCTGCTTATTTACAGAGTTGCTGCTTTCACCAGCACATCCACCCCCAAAACTCATCAGCATATACTGCTGCACTTCCACTTACCGTCCCAATTCAGACTCCAGCTCATAGAAGTCCGCCAGCGTCTCTTTCTTGGATCCATCGATCCAGTATTCAGGAGCGGCTCTAGAGGCGGGCATTGTCACTTTCAGCATCTCCAGCGCTTCAGCTCACTAACAGCGGAGCGCCGATCTACACACAAACAACAACATCACGAAATGCCATGGAAGAAAACGGACACACAGTCCGGAGAGGCAAATGATACACATCTTTGTAGAAAGAGTCTCATGTCACCTGTAATGTATGTCGGTGAGGTGCGCAGGGTGCCCGTGAATGTGTAGCGTCAGTTGAACGCGGTTGTTATGAACGGGGAGCGTGAGCGCGAGCGCGGCTTCCACTGGGTCTTACTGTCGCCTATGTAGGGCGCTGATTTTCTGTGTGTGATTTACCTGGATTCAGTGGACGTCAGATGCATTGCTAGATATCATCATGGCAAATGATAGTTATATTTCAAGATATAGCTAGATTTAATCCATTTCCTTCATTAATGCAGGACACAATTTCTGTCTACAAAAATAACCCATCATCACTGACACACTGTAATACAACTAGCTGGGTCTGTCATGAAATCCCGGGCCATATTTCACCAGAAATTCAAATTCGAATTATGGGAGGGTTCGATTTCCCTATTGGTTTTAATCCGACAAAGGTAGTAAAACAAATTGTTATTGAAATGTAGGTTACACAAGTATATTATTCATTCATTCATTCATTTCAACTATATTAGCCTATATCATTATATAGTGCTCTGAACATACGCTCGCGAACAGATCGCTGAGGTAACATGGCAACAGTGCACTGCACAGGATTAGTATGGAATGTATAGCGATAAAGGGCTGTCCTTTTTCATCGCTTTATTATAGATTGTTTACATAAATTCATAATAATATAACACACTATAGTTTGCTAACTGTGCTTGGAGCGCCAAACTCGAGGCTTGAAAATTACTGACTAAATAAATACATATATGAATAAAAAAAAAATGCATACATCTTTTTCTTTAATTTTTCAAATATGCCACTTTCAATGACGTTTTGAATGTGCTATGAGGAAGAAATCACCCACACTGAGTCCAGATCTGTACTGGCCTGCATGACTGGTCATCCTTTAAAGCTCAAGCAGTGCAGGAGTGTTCTAGGCTCCCACACAGAGAGACCCATCTGTTCAGTATCTGCTCAACGCAAAACAACCACAATCCCAACTAACCACCAGCATCACTCTCATCTCACACATTCACTTCCTCGAGGCTCAGTCATACAAATAATAAGAACTGGGAGGCAATGTATACATAGGATCAGTATGCACAATAATGGAGGTGTGCATATATATATATATATATATATATTATGCACAGTGGTCCAAGTATTTGGACACTTAATATGTATGAATACCATTGCTTTAGACAAAATATGAAATCAAACTACATTTATTTTAAAGGAACAGTTCACCCCCAAAATCCTCTGCAGTGAATGGGTGCCGTCAGAATGAGAGTCCAAACAGCTGATAAAAACATCAAAATGATCCCCAAGTAATCCACACGACTCAAGTCCATCAATTCAGGTCGTGTGAAGCGAAAAACTGCATGTTTGTAATAAATTAATCATTAAGATTTTTTTATTATTATTTAACTTCAAACTGTTGCTTCCGACTAAAAGACAAGTCCTCTATCCATCATATTGCTTTCTCCAGTGAAAAAGTCTTCTCGTCTGAATCAGGAGAGAAATAGGCACAGATCAAAAACCATTTACAAGCAAAAACAGTCCAAAACAGTTCTAAACAAATATGTTGGTCGATTTTGATATTACAGGACAACAGGGAATGGAAATTTTCACTCAATGAAGCACTATTATGTAGTGGTCTGCTGCATTCCCGCGGAACCGACCAGATTTATTGCGCCATTCCCGAATAAAACACGGTAGCGGTCGGTAACTCTGGTGTAATTTGAACGGGAGCGGGCGGTCTAACAATATCCCGTTCCCGACATCCATTCAGAACAGCATATCTGCGCTTTATTCTTATCAACCACCGGTAGCCTGCACTCGGACTATGCACTTTCTGCAGAATAAGGATGGAGCAAAGTGTGGATGCGCTGTCCTTGAATGACGTTCAACTCGGTTTTGTTTATATTTTGCTTAGCCTATAAATTTACATGACAGATGTCGTATTTATTTATTTTTCTCTGCTACACTTTTCCTACTGTGTTAACAGAAAAATGTCAAACGAATTTAGTATTTTGACAAGACAAATAAAAATAGCTAATAGGCTATTTTTGTACAACCTACATAATTTTTTTCTCTCTGCCACACTTTTTATATTGTGTTGTAAATGTTAAACGAATTGTATCCTGACAAGACGAATAAAAATAAGAAATACACAATTTCTGTACATTTTTATTTTCTCTTGACACTTTTTCCTACTGTGTTGCATAAAATACTAGGCTAAACGAATTTTGTGTCTTAAGATAATTCATATAAATTCAAGTCAAAGTCAATAAATTCAAGACTCTCGACAAGACGAATACAATAACATAATTTTGTGCAGACTACACTTTTATTTGTTAGCCTATCTCTCTTTCAGTAGCGGAAATTTAAATGTGAGATTCTGGAAACGAGATCTAAATTTAGCGGGAACGGTCGGGTCGGAAGAAAATTATTCTAAGCGGACAGCGGGTGAACAAAGAGTGAATATATAGCGGGAGCGGGTGGGTGCGGAATAGAACCTTGCAGGAGCGGGACTAAAAATAATAGTCCCGTGCAGACCTCTACTATTATGGGTTGTTTTTTTTTTTGGTCAGAACCTACGGTTTTAAGATAAAGGGTCTTACAAGGGATTTATTACAAACACGCAGCTTTTCACTTCACAAGATGTTAATTGATGGACTGGAGTTGTGTGAATTACTTGTGGATTATTGTGATGTTTTTATCAGCTGTTTGGATGCTCATTCTGACGGCACCCATTCACTGCAGAGGATCGACTGATGAGCAAGTAATGCGATGCTACATTTCCTCAAATCTTTTCTGATGAGGAAACAAACTCATCTACATTTTGGATGGCCTAAGTAAATTTTCAACTTTGAACTTTGAAAATGAATAGTTAAAATTTGACCTTAAAATAAAGTGACCAAAGAAAACTCGCATAGATTTTGTATACTTTTAATTTGTTTTAACAAAAAAGAGCAAGAACATTTAGTCTGATACAAACAGTCAGCAACATCTCAGAAAAGCAAAAGGAGGTCTATGTTGGAGAGATGTGCTTTACAGTAGTGCACTCTTGATATAAGACAACACACAAATGTTCTGATTTAGGAGCGTCTGCATGGACATCCATGTCTCCTCCAGGTGTGCCGACACGCTTTCTGCCTCCTCCATCAGTTCGGGCTGGTCTGCGATGAACCGAAGATGGAGCTGGAACAGGAAGATGACATGTTAAGAGTTAAAAATTCAAAAGAACTTTACAGTCAAACGCCCCAAACTGTTCTGTTACTTGATGTTGTTTCGATGTAATTAAATGACTGTATATAGAGTGAATACTCTTAGTAGTATATATAGTGTTGAAACAATGGGGACAGTTCATGAAAGGTGCTGAATTATAAACCATAAACAGAAATGTTTTCATATACATTTGCTGCCATCTGCTGTTTAAAAACCAAACAAATCCAGTTTGTCCTATCCAGCAAAATTCATGCATAATTTATCTATACATGTAAAAATACTGACAAATTCATAACCAATTGGAACCAGTTCACGTGTTTGTAGCCCTTTTATAAATGTAAAAAATGAGAATTTGTTAATATTATCAAATTAATGGCATTATAATACTTCATACATTTATATTAAATATTAAAAGATCACATTTTATATATTTTCAACAACACTTTTATTATATAGAACAAAAACATATTTACACTGACGGCCAAAAGTTTGGTAAAATTATAATTTTTAAATGTTTTTGAAAGAAGTCTCTTATGCTCACCAAGGCTTTGATTTATTTGATCAAAAATACTGTGAAAACGGTCATATTCTAAAATCTAAAATGACTTTCTATTTGAACATACCTTAAAAAAAAAGCTGAAAGCTAAAATTTCAGCATCATTACTCCAGTCTTCAGTGTCACATGATCCTTCAGAAATCATTCTAATATGCTGATTTGGTGCTCAATTATTAATAAGGTTTCTTAATATTATTAACACTGAAAAGAGTTTTGCTGCTTAATATTTTTGTGGAAACTGACATTTTTTTCAGGATTCTTTAACGAACAGAAAGCATTTATTTGAAATAGAATATTTTTGTAACATTACAAATGTCTTTACTGTCACATTATTTTTAAAAATTATTATTAATGTACTAACTCCAACCTTTTATATCAGTGTTTTATGGTTTGCATAAAAATATTAAGCAGCAAAAACTGTTTTCAACATTGATGAAAATAAGAAATGTTTCTTGAGCACGAAATCAGCATATATTAGAATGATTTCTGAAGGATCATGTGCCATTTTAAAATATATTCAAATAGAAATAGTTATTTTAAATGAATGAATGAATTAATGATATTTCTATTTACTGTATTTCTGATCAAATAAATGCAGCCTTGCTTTCAACAATTTTCCAATTTTCACAATTTAAACCCTTCATTGTTTATAGCACATCTTCATTTCCTGTGGAACTGAATTATCAGAGATGAATTCATTTGTATCAAAAACATGACATTAATATTATATTCGAAATATTTTTTTCCTATATTCTAAATATTTAAGGAAAGCCATCTGGTGAAATTGAGTTCAAATCAAATGGTGTTTGACAGTGAACATGGGCTTCCCAGCATGATTAAAAAGAAACAGAAACCAAGCAACTGACAGTCTTGTCTTACAGCTTTGTACTAGAACTAAAAGCCAAAACTATTGTGTTATAAAGTTGATATGCAGCTTAGGGTTGTGACGGTGAGGAAATTTTCCCACCGGTTAATCGACGTGTGACAACACCGGTAATACCGGTATCACCGCGGGGGCGGGGCGTTCCCTTTTTTCCTCGCTTTCCTTCACTTTTAAATAGCTTAAATAGCTTGTGCGCATTTTACTTTCACTTTTGAATTAGCGGCAGTTCGGCGTCAATTGCTTGAATGCAACAACAAAATACAACGTCAAACTCACTTTAGCGTTTATATAAAACATAGAACTTTTATTAACAAAACAAATAAAAATACACCATGCTATAGGGCAGGCTATGCCTAATATAAAATAACAAATAAATTACATAAAGTTTAAATAGGTACAAAACTGGAAATAAGTAAACGTATAATATATAACCAAATAAATAAGAAACGTAGAACGTTTATTAGCAAAACAAATGTCAAATAAAATAAATAAATGACACAGTTTAAATAAAGTAAAAATCAGCAAACAATGTGGAACCAATTAAATAAGAAACGAATGTTTAAAAAAAACTTCCAAAATCACCTTAGATAAACGGCAAAAGTCAACAGGCTTTATCACCTTAGATAAATGGCAAAAGTCAACAGGCTTTTCAAAGTCCAAAATATTGCCAAACAGGCGCTTTTGCATTTCGTTTCGAAACTAAATCATCCGCGATCGTCTTGTCTGTCTCACCTCACTCTTCTTGTCAGTCAGCTCGACTCACTCTCCTCACTGGAGAATTTAAATCTGATCTGTGATGCTACTGTCGTTCGGCACGCTGCATTGAGCAGCCGCGTTCAGTTTTTAATTGTAGTGTCTGTTCTTTTACTGAACTAAATGATTTTTATTACTATAAAAAATCAAAACGACGGCAGGGGTTGGTGACGCGGTGGGCAAGTGACGTAACCGGTGTTGCGGCTTAACACCGGTATCACCGTCAGCACCGTCTATCGCGGCAAGCCTAATGCAGTTGTATGGAAATGTGAAAAATAAACATCAGCAGATTGCTCACACCGTACCTTAAGGAACAATGCTAGGTAGGCTTGAGCCAGGTCGAAATCTCTTTTGGACTGAAGAATGCTGCTGATCATCTTGAGGAAGCTCTGCATAACTCTGACATCTCCACCCATATCTGGTGACAGGGACCGAAGTTCTGTTTCAATGGCAGAGGGGCCTAACTCTCTCAACAGCTTTACTGGCTCCTCATCTATCAAGAGGAAACAGATGATTAACACAGCGATCACTCACATTACAAACGCAAATTCAATAGTACAGCATCATTTCAAATGAAAGCATAAAGGGCTTACATGAGTTGTTGTCTAAAGTGTTCTCAAGCTGAAGGTAGAAGGTGGACTTCTGTGCCAACACTCCCAAGTTGACAATTTTAGACTAAAAAAAAAAAAACCTTAAAATTTCACATATGCATAATATATTTAAATATACATTATTTAATTACGTCCAAATAAAAAGTAAAAACAGTAAAATTGTGAAATGTTTACAATTTAAAATAACTTTCCTTTTTTAATATATATTTTTAAATATAATTTATTCAAAATTTCAGCAGCCACTACTCCAGAATACAGTGTCACATGATCCTTCAGAAAGCTTTTTAATATCCTGTTTTGTGGCTCAAGAAACATTTCTTATTATTATGAATACTGAGAGTTTATTTTAAATAAACATTTTTGTAACAACTAAAAATATTTACTTTCACTAATGATCAATTTAATTAGTCTGTGATGAATATATTTATATTTTATGGTTTTTTTTCTCTCATGGTGGGTTAGGTAA